GAAGATTGGGGAGAGAAGGAAAGAACCCACAACGTATCACAAGTGAAGTCTATTTGATGTTCCTATGCTTACGCTGCCCTGCCAATTTGCCCCTCGTTGCGTTTTCGCAACACCCCTGTCTTTCCGATGTGCCCAACGTTGCGTTACCGCAACACGACTGTAGTCATATTTGAAAATAGTCACAAACCCTATTTGCAGCAGAATTTGTTAATAAAATGCATTTTCTAGCTATTGTAGGGACTCTGCAGAATGTGTTCACACATTATTCATTACGATATAATTAATCACTTAATCTACTTATTTTGGTTTTCGTGACGTCATCACTGACGGGACCTACGACTTCCCTCTGGGAGCTCTGGACGGTAAGTTACCGGCCGCACAGACTTGTAACTGCGTAGCATCATGCGCGCAACTATGCTTAACGCGCTGAAACTTGTCTCATCGGTGAGAAGCCATTATACACTTCTCAATATTTGATCACGTCGACGCTTGCTTGTGTTGCGAAAACGCAACGAAGGGCGTAAATGGGTTAAAGTTGGTGTGTGGGTGTGCTTGCGGATACTGATTGATATGCTCCTGTAAGCTGGTGACTGTGGGTTCGTTTGGAAGAGAGAATTGTGCTGCATTGCATTTAGCAGCAAATTTCTGTTAAAGTATCCCCCTGTTTATTCCGTGTTCTTCACACTATGGGGGATCTACGAGTACATATTAACCGTTTTCACGACGGCCATCTGGTACACATTTGGTGCACGTCTGGTACATTTTAGGTGCAGATTTGGTCAAATTATAGGTTCAGTGTGTCTCTTAGTAGCTATCACCTAGGGTTGCACTAATTGCTTATATGCCTGCTTTGTCATATTATCAGAGAGCATCATCGATTAAAACACTGAAATAAATTCATAAAATGAAGATATTTGCTAAAGAGATTAGGTGCAGATTTGGTCAAATCAGGTGCATTGATCGCCCGATAGACCGTCGTGAAAACGGCTTTTATGTAAAGTAGGACGACAATTGCAACATTTCAACATCATGGCAGTCGGAATAGGTCTCGTAGGAAAAAACTTTTCTTTTAAACAAGATAAATACTGCGTAAACTTAACCCCTTGAAGTTCCATAATCTGTAAATTTTTAGTTGGATGCGCTTATTTTCAAATACGGCCGGACAGTACAGTTTGGTCATTATCGGTTGGGCTCAACCTTATGCACGTGCCACGTGCAAAACGAAGAGGTGTCAGTTTTGTAACAATTGCATTATCTCGGTAACTACTGGCCCGATTGCGCTGAAAGTTGGCATGTAGGTAGGCAGCCACTAGGCAATGCATATCCATGTGCCAAAGTTCGGGTGCTGCTGCACGTGCGCACGCGCAGGGGTCGATTTTAAATCTCGAGAACGGCTGAACCGATTGCGCTGAAATTTGGTACATGGTTATTGGTTAGAGACCGGTTAGTAGGGTGCCATACAAAAGTCAGTTGGGACCCATTTTGCACGTGCGCACGTGCAGGGTGCCGCTTCCAGATATCGAGAACGGCTAGGCCGATTGCGCTCAAATTTGTCACATCGCTAAAGACCGGTTAGTAGGGTGCAGTGCACAAGATAGTTGGGGGTACCCCGTCGCAATTTCGCACGTGCAAGGCCCACCCTTTCGCTCGCTGCGTTGGTCGCCCCAAAAGGCGCTTTACTGGTAAAATATGAATTATAAAACTAACGAGAACCGGCCATCTATTCGGCGTCCGACCCCGCCTCGCACCCTGGCGAGGGTTCAATCGAATACGCCGCCGAATAGATTACGTGACCAATTCAATCGAGCGCCTCCGGCCCGCTGAGGCTGGCTCCATAAAGTGGAGCCTGTTGACGACCAGGGAGGTCGCCGACACCACTAGCGTATTAGCGGAAATCAATAGAGCATCAGGGACCTCCTGTCTAGTGTCTGGTCGTGTTTTATACAGAAGGTCAAATCACATCATGCTCATATGTGTACCATGTTTGCCGCTGTTCCATGTTAAAAGACAACGGACTACCTTAAGCGTGTCTACCTCAAGCTTACACTGTCAGCATCTGGCAGCCTTACCGACATCAAGAAGAGTAGAGCTTGCATCGGATAATGTTATTTCAGGCTCAGCGCTATGGAGAAGAAAGGAGCACGCCACTCATGAAAAAACATGCTTTCATCAGAATAGAGTGAGATCGTTAAGGCCAAGGAAATGATCAAATGCTACAATAATGATAGAGCCAACATTCGGCCAGAGGAAATGATGAATTAAGTTAATCTCGGTAGATGAGTGACGGAGCGGTATCAGAAATAGAATTGCCCAAATTCAGCAAAACGTGTTCAGTTACTGTCTGTTTTCTTTCTTTGTCCATCTCTTTCACCTTCACTGGCTTCCCCCCCTCTCTCTCTCTCTCTCTTTCCCCTCCCCTCTCTCTTCTTCTTCTCATTTTCACGTACTAAACAACTTCTCGATTAACAACGTGCTGTATTGCGCCTTCTGTCTTGATATAGGTATGTGCGAACACGTGCAATGAACCCTCCACCGTCAGAATGAAACCTGCGAAAATACCCGTCAAAAAGTGAGATGGACGATGTAATATGCGCTCTACTTTGCACCTAAATGATGATTAATCGCACATCATCATAAACTTTTTCCGCATAATAAAGAATTACAGAAGCGGAAGAGAGAAAGGTTCTGATATTCGCGTGAAAAGCATGGCATACGCAACCTAATAAGTAATTGAGGTACCTACCTCAATTCCCTATCCAGTTTGTATCTACTTGAGCATTACTTTTTCAACAGCTACATATGGAACGGTTGGCATTGATGGCTATTACAAGGTACCTACATACGCCGATATCAATATTACGCCTCCGTTCTACATGTACTTAACAAGTAACAACGCAATGCATGCAAGTATAAATTACAATAATGTACTTTCTAAAGATTATGTGCTGACTTATGAGACTCTTGCGAGTGCTTGTGGCAGGCATTTTGCAGTCTCTGATGTGCTTCATCATAGCGGCATTTTATGTAACGTTTAATCCATCAACCTTTCAGTCAAAGAGCCATTTGAAGATTAATTATATAGTTATGTAAGGGAAATAAAACAACATACAGCACTCAGTACATACAGCACTTGTGGCGGCCTATAGTTGACACTGACCCGCCCCGAACTATGATTCACTGGCGTTTCCTCCGAGTAACTGTCTACTAACACGTGATGAACGGCGAAAACAGTGGGTCGCGGGAAACAAAAACAAGCTATTTTTCAACATCCGCATTCCTTGGAGAACAGAAAATTGATAAGTAAGTGGGACATTGCATGGTACAATATGGCAATATTGATACGAATGGCTAAATTTAAGGCACCGAGGCAAGATTATCAATCGATGATGAAGGTTTGCCATCTCCACGGTGACTGACATAGGGTTAGGGTGCTATGAGAAGGAATTAGCACTGCAGTGAGGAGCGATTCGCTCAACAGTTCATTGCCTAAGCGCCACATTACGCATTGATACTAGCTCATCGAAATGTAAAAATTATATGATTCGAAATACCGGTGTTTTACTGGTGACAGGGCGGGCCCACTAATGCGTTGCGTCTTTTGCTGTCTTCAGCACGCAACATCTCTTTTATTCAGCCATCGTCTCCGCATTTCTATCTGGAGCTGAAGTTTCACGCACCTGTCGAGACGGGCCAATTTTTGCCTCCGCCGGTCTCCGTGCAACACGAGCAGCAATTTTCCCACGGAAGAGCGTCAACATCTAGACGAAGGGTAAATTCTACGAAAGACTTACGCTTGAATTTCTGGAAGAGGTGAAAAGATAAAAGTGAAATAAAATGAGATAATAAACCAGGAACAAAATAGATCAAATAAATGACAGACCGGGCTTACAAATTAAAATTATAGCTTGTAAATAATTACACTCCACACTAAACAGGCACGCATCTTTACCCTGCTTACTCCATCCCCAGCTTTACAACAACAAGCAAAATCCACCAGAGAAGTTTGGGCTGGACTCCCGTGCGGTTTGCTCTGCTAAAGCGCCTGTCACTCGCTACGAACACGGACAATTGGCACGATATGTCACACTGTCAGGTCAACAATACAAAAAGGAGCCACTCCTGCGAGTCGTTTTCGAATGGTGTCAAGCTGGCATCCGGCCATCCTCCCTGACGGTGGAACGCGAGTGAAACCGGATATATGTGTCGACAACTGCCGCTGGCCTCTTTCAACAGAGACTGGATGGCAAGGACAGGAATTGGTTTGAGTAGGTCATGACAAAATCCACTCAAACTCATGCATTTATCATCTCACGTCGTACACCAATGCGACTTACTTCCCGTCGTGACAGGGATCACAAATGAAGTGAGTTGTGGCACTGGTAAATATCACATCACACCTGACAACTCAGCAATTTCCACAGCAAACTAAGAGACGACAATACAGCGCCTTGCAGTGTCGCTAAAAGAGCATCACAAAAGAAGAATCAGTCAGAAGTAGACGTTCTGTTGAATTTGTATTAGTTCTAGTGTAAGGCTACTGGTTACATCAACTTTTTTGCTAATTGCGCGAAACACAGGCAACTTCATTTCAAACTGTTTTGATGCATTCCTACTTATCAAATTCACAAACCACACTCAATCAGAGCTGATATGCTTTGATGTAACTATTGAAAAAAATAATAATTGTTCAAAGCATTGCCAGGACATAACCCTATCAGAGAGGAGCTTAGACACATCACAAACCTTACCGAACCCGACCTTTGAACAACACTAGGATTGTGGGATTAGCATCAGCATCAGTCCTTTGGACTGTAAAATCTGCGGGATAATAAGTACTCTGCTACTTCTCCCCGGCCCTGTCTGGTTGTGTCCACTCCGGTCCCATTTCCGGCGGCTGTCCGGTAGCCGCCGGCGGCCTCGGTCGCGCACGCCGACGGTCACCTGTTGCGCCTCCTCCGCCGGCCGATCCCGGGCGCAGTCGGCTGGTCATCGCTGCCGACGGCACACCCCGTCGACGTCGCTCCGTGCAGGCTCGCCTCCCAAACACCGGTCGTGTTTATTTTATCTCTGCACGCTCGGCGGCGGGCGCGCACCGCGCTCGAGGATCATCCGGTGGTGTCTCGTCTCTGCTGTGGCGGTCAGTCTACCGAGATAGTCGACCGCGACGACCTCACGTCGGCAGCGACTGTCCCGGCTCCGAGGAGACGGCTCACCGTAGCCATGGAGGTAAACCAGTCCGTGTTGCGGGAGGCGTTCAAAGACTACACCTGCCGCGATGGAGACGTGGTCTTCGAGCGCGGCAACGGCTCCCTTATCTGCTGGGACATGAACGCTTCGGCAGCTCTGCGTGTGCCTCCGCCGCGCGCGCTCAACGTCTCCGACTACACCCCTTTGGCGTACGCCCTGCCGCTGTACGGCTACGTGATGCCCTTCCTGCTGGTGGTTACCATCATCGCCAACACGCTGATCGTCGTCGTCATGAACCGGAGACACATGCGCACGCCCACCAACCTGGTGCTCATGTCCATGGCCATCTCTGATATGCTGACGCTGCTCCTGCCGGCTCCCTGGCTGCTCTACCTGTACACGTTTGGAAACTACAACCGGCCGATGGACTCGGTGTACGCCTGCTACGCCTACGTGACGCTGACGGAGACTCTGCCGTCACTGTTCCACACCAGCAGTATCTGGCTGACTTTGGCTCTGGCCGTACAGCGCTACATCTACGTCTGCCACGCGGCTGTCGCACGCACCTGGTGTACCGGACCGCGCGTGCTGAAGGCGGTCGTCTGGATCTACGTGCTCTCGCTGCTGCATCAGTCGACTCGCTTCTTTGACCGCTCGTTCGTCCTCGAGGAGATCTGGTTCGAAGGCGAGGTGACTTACAGCTGTCGCACAGAAATCCCCCGCTGGATCACCCACGGCATCTCGCAGGACTACTACTTCGGCTTCTACTTCGGCTTCCGGGTACTGTTTGTGCACATGTTGCCGTGCATCTCCTTGGTAGTGTTCAACATCCTTCTGTTCCGCACCTTACAAGAGGCGCAGGCCAAGCGCGAAATGCTCTTCCGTGACAGCACAAACAAGGGGAAGCGAGAGTGTAAGCGAGCGATGGACTCAAACTGCACCACCATGATGCTGATTGTGGTGGTGAGCGTGTTCCTGATCGTGGAGATCCCGCTCGCCGTGGTCACCTGTCTCCACATCCTCGAGAACCTCATCGAGAACGCCAAGATCCTCGACTACGACGTCAGTAAGGCGCTGGTGGTCATCATCAACTTCATCATCAGCTTGTCGTACCCCATCAACTTCGCCATCTACTGCGGCATGTCGCGCCAGTTCCGGGAGACGTTCCGCGACCTCTTCATCGCCGGGAAGACGACGCAGTTCAGCTTGACGGGCAGCAGCCGCTTCTCTACCGTTAACGGGCCCCGCACACGCACAGAGACAGTGCTCTAGAGCGGCTCAGCGCGTCAGCTTAGGTGAGTTCCGCTCCTCGAAGTGTTGCACGATTTTGTCTGGCCCCGCACGCTTATTCAGAGGTTTTGTAGAAGCTCATTTATGGCTGCCAGTGTGGTCTACTTTGGCACGAATTTACAACAAGTACTGAACCGTGTGCTGTTGCTGAGGTAACTGAACGAAGTTGGTTGAGTGTTTCTGCTTGGTGTACTTTGCACCAATTAGGAAGTTTCGTTAATTGCCTTTCACGGGTCATACTGGCACGCGTTTTGTTTTCTTCACCGTGAGTTAACTATCTATACTTAAGCTATATGTTATAGAATTTATAGACCTAACTCTAGCTCGACTGGACAAACTTTGATACAAGACGGCCTTGTATAGTGTGAGGCATAATGCACAACGTAAACATAAGAGAAGGAAGAATTGTGATGGTATCGTAGTATTGAACTGCACAAACGCAAAGTTCGGCATTATTAATTTCCAATGCAAGCCCCGTGTAGCAGGCATCTTCTAAAAGAGGTCTTGAACTCGCGACACCAAAAGGCTTTCAGCGTTGCAGGCTCTAGCAAAACTTGCGCTCTGAGGTAACAGTAAAAGTGTGCTCGAGTATTAAAGCAAAATAATTAACTAGCTCACCGCCACCGAAGTACAAACAGTGCTGTTTTTACCTTGCGATAAAAAATAAAGAACTTATAGCCGTTTTCACGACAGGCTATCCGGCGAGTGCACCTAATTTGACCAAAGCTGCACCTAATCTCTTTTACAGCAAATATCTTTATTTTATTAATTTATTTTAGTGTTTTAATCGATGGTGCTCTCTGATAATATGACAAGGCATGCACATAAGCAATTAGTACAACCCTAGCTGATAGCTACTCAGAGACACACTGAACCTAAGTTCACCAAATCTGCACCTAATCTCTTTTACAGCAAATATCTTTATTTTATGAACTTATTTCAGGGTTTTAATCGATGATGCTCTCTGATAATATGACAAAGCAGGCATACAAGCAGTTAGTGCAACCCTAGCTGATAGCTGCTAAGAGACACACTGAACCTAATTTGACCAAATCTGCACCTTATCTGCACCAGATGTGCACCAAATGTGTACCAGATGGCCGTCGTGAAAACGGCTAATATTAACCTTGGGTTGTGCGATACACAAATGTAGTAAAGCGTATTTGAACCTGCAATTTACCTAGCAGGAACATTGCAACAACAGCCTTTTTAATGCCAGCTGCTGACACTTTGGAGCGTGTGACAGCACCAAGTTGACACGCGCTGGCAGTGTTGTGTGTGATATCCAAAAGTGCACCATGGCCGCACCAGTGTTTGTCGAGCTTTCCAGTGCAGGCTATCGATTGCCGGTCGTCCGGTGGTCGTGAGATTGCGCCTCTTTCCGTTAGTGGGCCGAATGATCGCGACAAGCCGCAAACAAGGCCCCGGCAACGGTTACATGTGGCCCACTGTCGGCACAGAACCGCCGCCAATCTGGCGAGTGCGGGACAACAGCGGATTTAGAGATCAATGAAATGAGGGGCTCACGTGAACGTGGTCTGTACTAAAACTGGACGATTCAGATCATCGTATTTTACTGTCTGGCAGTAATCAATACATTTGGCCAGGGCAGGTCTCTGTGGCATCCTCGGTACACATAAATTTGATGACGTGGTTCAATAGATGTAAATTATTTCCATATAAATGATTCTAATTATTTAAGAACACACCACATACACTGGGCATCTTAAAGAAACCAGCTTCACAACGTCGAGGGATGGATACAACTTTCAGTTCTTCTCAGAGGAGGTAAAATTGATTTAGCGAAAAGTTTTTAGACACACTCGTGGTGTTGACAGTCACCAGCTGCCGACAGCTCCCATTTATTAGTCCCATTTATTAGCCTCATTGTAAGAGCTCGGGAACCGAAGCAGTCAATTACAGCGCCAATGCTAAAAAAGAGAGCAGAAAGAGCATCAATCACTGGTGAAAATCAGCGCTAAAACGCTGAAATAAAGGTAAATAACAGCTGACAATTCTTTTTCCTTATTACGTTTTTCTTTTAAAGAAATGCTTGAATATCCATGCCACCTTAAACGTTTCGCTTGTTGACTAAAAACTGAGATGAGCTCTGTATTTTTCTGCTACTCATGTCACATGTGTAATTTCGTTTCTTCAATTCAGCTTACATTTCATGAGACGATTTGAGCGTGTCTTTAAACGTTTTACGTATGGATACAGTGATCTCGATGAAAGCACGCTATCGTAACAGTTTTAGCTTTGTGACAGTTTTCATAGCGCTGACTTTGAGTACTGAGCAATTTATCATTTGATACAACCATAACCTAAAATACACACACATGATCCAATTGTGATACTAAGGAATGGCAGCCTTTAGCCTAGTGATAAATTGTTTCGCATTTTGTTCGCATGCATAAGCTCACACGATGACTCCGACAAAGGCCCGTCCTCTCCAGCTGTTGGCCGCCGCCACCATTAGCTGCTCCGTCTGACGGAGGTGACGGGGCGAGGCGGTGTTTTGGCCTCTGGCACGCACCGCGTCCGCCCGTGTCACCTCCCGTCAGCCGCGATCTCAGCGGGGAGGGACGCGCCGCCCGCTCGCCAGTTACCTCCTCTTGTCTGTCAGTGTGTCAGTCTGTCAGCGCTGGCTGTCAGTGTGTCAGTCTGTCAGCCCGGATTTCAGTGTGTCAGTCTGTCTGTACTGACACAGCCGACGGTGGGACCCGGCTCTAATTGGACAGAAATGACGAGGGAAACGAGTCCGAGCCGACAGACGTATTTTGATAAACGCGGACTGGGTGACCGGCGAACCCATCGGCTTTGAGCTCGTCTATTCATTCGAGTAGTTATATGCGGTTTACAGGTGGTAAGCAGTGCGGTGCATGTGACCCGGACCCAGTGTTTGGCGGCCGCTCTTTAAAGCTGACGTTTCCGGGTGCCGCCGCCGCTCGGTGCCAGCCGCCCCACCCATCAATCCCCGTCAGTACCGGCCGCATATTCATGACACGCGCCACGTAATGGATACGGAGCCAAAAGTGTTTGCGCCGTCAGCGATAGGCATGTTACATTAACCGAGTCTCGCCGGGATTTTACGAGAATTTTAGGAATACTAGCTCGTGCCTGGCATGTATTTTACTTTTTTATTTTGTTATATGGGGTATATTTTTCCAAATTCCAACGTTCCAAAAACCATGCATTGGAGGCTTTATTATGTAGCAAATAAATTATTGCATTCCCTCTGTTGTTGATGGGACATCCAACTAAAAGCCTTCCTCGATGCACTCGGCAAAGCCTTCTCAATCCTATTACTGTTTGCAGATAACAAGGCAACTCTTTCAATCACTTTGCTTCTTATACCGTTCACTTTAGAAAAAAATAAGATTAGAGCCAATGTCATTTTGGGCCACACGGAGCCTCCATTTGGCGCAGGGAAACAAATATAAAGCTCTGGGACAGCATCACAATTTTTTTTTTCAGTAACACAAATAATATGCAAAGCAAAATGTCCAGTTGGTAAGGCCCAGTGCTAGGGCCGTTTTGAGCTTCAAACCGTATGACTCCGTGAAATATTTCGTGCGTATACACTATGCATAGTGGGCAAAGTTACCACTATGCGTCTTTTATAAATAAGAATCTTGTTTCCTTTACCGAGAAGCAGTATAATGAGCGCTGGCGCGGTTATTTATGCTGGCTTAGCCTATCTCAGGCGTGGGCGAGGTCGTGAAAGTTCGACAGCCGAACGAACGGGTCCGTTCGTTCGGCGCCATTTCGCCTCAAATAGTGAAACGTGTTGCTCCGATCGGAAATAGCGCCTCTGAATAGCAGAGCTATAGGCATAGCATCAGTTATGGCCAAACGAAAGGCCTTTTAGAGGGTTGGTAAAACGTCAAGTTACAGCAAGAAAACACATGTCAGCCGAACGATATAATAACTTATTGGTAAATGAGTACACTTTCTAGCATACATCAAACAGGACACGATAAAAACAACTTTTGGCAAAACTTCTGTTGTATTCTTATGTATATGACATCAATGTCAAAGGTAATCACACATTGTCAAATGACATTTGGTTTCAGTTTCGTGTCTATGTTGGGTGTGGAAAAGCTCCGCTGTGTAAAGATGAATGTCGACGGGAGCTGAGCACACAAACCTATAAATGTCATCGGCCGGCGTCCAGTATTCACCCGGCTCTGTAGACGTTTGTGTGTGCACACCCGCTATCGCGGCATGGGCCGAACAGCGCGCTGAAAGATTACTCGCCACTGTTGAAACGGCAAACATCCGTCTTCATAGGCCATCAAAGACGATGTTGTGTGGCCGTCTACATCACGAGTCAATCGTCTGTGGTCTTCTGTTCAGGTTCAGGCCCAAAATAGGCGCCACAAAACCATTTCATTAGTGATTTGGCTCATATTGCAACTGAATATCCGGGTGCTGTAAAAGAGTAAAATTGTAGAACGAAGAAAATCGTTAAAGGTTTGTAGAACACTAAGGACGTGACATGTTCAATTCGATCTATTGGCAATTATGTAAATTTACCGCCCGAGGAGCTAATGATATTTGACAAGTAATAGCCCATAAACGATTAACTTCATGAATTAAATTGCGCCCCACTAAGTAATATGCGATTTCAAGTCGGAACGATCAGATATTATGCTGGTCAATAAACTATCAACAGACAACTTAAGGCACTTCGAAGCATCTCAGGAACGCACAAACTTGGCCAGTATGCACGTCAAAAGACCCAATTACAACCTCGGAGCGCATCCATGACGTCATAAATTCCCCATCAGAATGTTGTCCCTCCGCGGGGCGAATCATCTGCGGCGCAGAAAGAGGCAATCAAGCCAGCGACTGAGCTGCGGCAGTCGCGAATTGTCCGGAGCCGCTGCGGCGTCCCGCTGGAATGCCTGCCCCCTGCGGACTGACCAGGTCACCCCCCCCCCTGCGCCCCCCTACAGACGGTCTCATCAGGAGGGCGTCATCGGCTGGTCGGTAGCCTGGG